ACAAAGGGTTGAATCTGCTTGCAATGCCCTGGAATCATTTATTCCAGGAATATTTATTGAGCACCTGCTATGTGCAGGGCACCGTTCCAGGCCGTGGGACAGTGAGGCACAGTGAGGCACAGCCAAGGGCCCCACCCTCTTGGGGCTGGCATCTAGGCCCGCAGGGGGACAGCGGTGAGATAAGCAAGTAAATATGTAAAAGCAGATGGGGCATTAGATAAGATGCAGAGTTGAATATGTAAAACAAAAAAAGGGGTATGAGATATGAGATCTCTGGGGTGGGGTCATAGCATCTGGAAGGGTGATGGTTCCAAGCTTGGGCAGAGCTGGGGAACAGCATCCCAAGTAGGAGGAACAGCATGGGCAAAGGCTCAGAGAATGGATGAGCCTGGCAAATCTGAGAATAGACAAAGACCCCTTGGCTGCAAAGACCGGTCTTGGAGGGGGGTGTGGATAACCACAGGGACTTTGGCTCCTCCAAGTGGGAGCCTTGGAGGGTGCCAGGGAGCTCAATTTGGGGTGTATGGCCTTTGGGGTATCTGAGAAATAGCAAGTCACATCCTTGGGGGGGGGGGGACAGTCAGGTTGTACCAAGCGCCAGCCCTCACCTTCCCAGACCTCACTGTGTCTGTGGCCACCTGCCCCACTGATGGCTTGTTTAAAAACCAACTGCAATTGTTTATTTTTTTAAAGAACAAGATTCCACTCCCCTGAATGAAAGAAGTGAGGATCAGCCGCCCTAAGTAGAAGGAATAAATCATGCAATCAAATATAAGCTAGCACCGCTGCAGCCTCGCCCTCCCAAGAGATGCCGCTTCTCTCCCTGTTGACAAAGGGGGTTGGGTGTGAGGACTCGGCAGCACCAACCCAGGATGCTCTCCCGAGTGTAGCCAGAGGAGCAACCAGGGGCCACTGCCCACCACCAGTGTTCCTGCCTTTGGTCAGAACAACTAGGGAGCCTACACACTGGCCAGGCCGGTTCTGAGCCTCCCTGAAGCCAGTCGGCCACCTGCATAGAGCCCACTACGCCCTCCCCAGGTGTGTTGCCGCCCCGTCCCACCTGGCGGGAACTGTGTCCCAGACATGAAGTCCAGCTCCCACCTCTTCGTCAGACACCCCTGGGCTGGAGTCCTCATACCCCACTTCCCCGGCTGTTCGGCTCTAACCATCATGTAACTCCCTGTGCTCACTTCCCTTCCTGCTAAACGAGCCATCGGGAGGGTGAAGTAGAAGGCGTGCCGCAGGCCCCGTGCACAGCAGTGGCAGTCACTTTTGTTAATAATCATCGCGATTACTACTGACACCTGGCACTGCCCGTGACCCCAGGGAAAGGTTGGCGCTGTCTCAACTGCTAAGTTGTATGAGAAGTAAAAGGAGATGAAAGCCAAGGCCCTCAGGGAGCAGGCAGGCCTGTGGCTGGGCAGCGCTGGTGTAAGACTATAGGGAGTGCTGCGGAGTGTGGTAAACTGGAGAGCACATGAGCCGTATAATGCTATTTTAAGTCAGATTTTTTCAAATCCACTTCACAGAAAACACATGCACATCTGTGGATATAAACTAATAAGGGCTCCTGAGTTATAGAAAGCCAGAGAGTAAGATAAAAAAATGTTGGTGTTTTTTTTTTAATGTTTGTCAAGCGCCCACTATGTGTCGGGCATGGTACGAGGCTTGTGAACAGCAGTAAAGCAGGCCTAAATCCCTGGGAATGGGGCAGGCAGCACCCCAGTGGGTGAACTGGAAGTGACTTTAGTCTCAAGGCAGTTCTGGGGACAAGCATGGCAGGGAAGGGGGGCGGTGAGGATGCTGGCGGGAGGGACCGGGGCAGGCCTCTCTGAGATAATGGACATTTAATCAGTAACCTGAAGGAGGCTAGGGAGGCAGACTCCCAGGCCAAGCGCCCGTCTGAGGCAGAGGCCATGAGGTGGGAGGTCAGGGACTCACCTGGGTATTTTCATTTGTGGTACGGTTTCTAGGTGGAAGGAACTGACCTGGGGCCAGACCAGGCACGTTCTGCAGACTCCAGCCAGTTAGCGCTGGCTGGTTGTGGGGGGCCTTGAAAAGCCCACCTGCTCTGTCTCCAGCAGAGGGAAGCGTCACACCTGGCGGAAACCCTTTGTTGCCCAAAAGTTACAGCTGGGACCTTGGCTGCATATGGCTGTGATGACAGATGTTGGTGCAGTTCCGGGGCCTGACGATTCCTGTCCAGTTCTTTTTTTTTTTTCTTTTTTCCTTTTTGTTCTTTTTTTTCTATTATAAATTTTATTTTTATATTCCCCATACAATTGTGACCCCCTTATTTTGACCTCAATCCCTCCCCTCCCCGCCCCCCACCCCCTATAGGGTGTCTCTGGTTCATAGTTTTTTGTTGATTTTGATTTTCACTTTCTTATAGTTATTCTTTTTCCTGGTCCCTTATTTAAGTTTTCTAGATTCCTGCTATGAGTGAGACCATCCGGTATTTTTCTTTTTCTTTCTGGCTTATTTCGCTGAGCATGATCCCTTCCAGCGCCATCCATGTGGCTGCAAATTGCATGTGTTTATCTTTTTTGAATGCTGAGTAATATTCCATGGTGTATATGTCCCACATCTTCTTGATCCAGGCATCTATTTTTGGGCATTTGGGTTGTTTCCAAAGCTTAGCTATTGTAAACAGTGCTGCTCTAAACATAGGGGTGCAGGTGCTTTTGGAATTGATGTTTTTGTATCCTTTGGGTAAATACCTAGGAGTGGAATTGCTGGATCCTATGGAAGCTCTATGTTTAGTAGGTCCAGAAATCTCCACACAGCTCTCCACAGTGGTTGGGCTGTCCAGTTCTTAACAAAGCCAGCTCTTTCCTCCCGCCACTGCTCGTGACCTAGGCCGAGGGGCTCAGGAAACACACCTGACTCCTGGGAAGTGTTCCTTATAAAACTGCCTCAATGCTGGGCTCCAAAGGGCAGGCTTGGTGCCATTTCCTTCATTCAGTGAATTTTTACCAAGTTTCAATTCTATATGGGGGTGGGAGGGGTGAGAAGCAGAACTCAGACTCCCCCACACGCTTAGTCCAAAAGAAGAGATTGATCATCCACAAGAGAGCCAGTACAGGAGAAAAGTAAAGGAGGTAAATTCAGAAGGAGGTAAATGCTAACAAGAAACAACAAATGCCAGTGTGTTTGGACGTAAACAGGTGGAGCTCAGCCAGACAGGGAGGTTGGCCAGGGCTTCCTGCGGAGGTGGGGTGGCCTCATAGTCAGACTGGAATGATAGGACAAGCCAGCCAAGCCGTCCTGGGAAGAGAGACCCACAGCCAGTGCAAAGATCCCGGGGCAGGAGTGAGCTTGGCGCATTTGAGGAGCAGTGAGGAGTCAAGCATAGTCAAGTGAGGGAAGGAGAGAGAAAAGACGGTGTCAAAGAAACAGGGGTGGGCAGAGAAGGGCAGTTCTTGAAGAGTCTTTTAGGCCACAATAAGGAGTCTGGGCTTCTGAGCACAGTGGAAGCTGTTGGATGGCTTTAAACAGTAAAGAGATATGATCTATGTTTGCCTCGGGGAAGCTTTAGCTCTTTCCTTCCCTATTTGGCAGAAAGATGGGATACAAGAGCCACATAAATCTTAGCCTTTAGGGACAGAGGGCTGAGGTGGGTCTGACAAGTTGTTTTCAAATCTCTAGGGGTTGGTGGTGATTGCGATCTGCAGCTCCCCGGCCAGAACCCGTGGGCCCTGCATTGATTTCCTATTACTGTGCTAACAAATTGCCACCAACTGGGTGACTTAAAACAACAGAAATATATTCTCTCTGAGTTCCAGAAGCAGAAGTTCAAGATCAAGGAGTGGGCGAGCTGTGCTGCAGGGGAGGCCCTTCCCTGCTCCTGCGGCTCCCCCTCTGTGTCTGGGTCCTCTGTCTCTTATAAGAACACTTGTTAATGGATTTAGGGCCCAGTTCAGAACGATCTCAAGATCCTTAACGACATCTGCAAAGCCCTTTACTACAAATAAGATCTCAGTTGCAGGTGCTGGGGGTTAGAATGTGGACATACCTTTCAGGGTTGGGTGGGGTGCCATCATTCAACCCACACACACCCTAAGAACTGCAGAACTGAGGATGGTCAAAGAAGGAGAAGAAAAGGCTTTCCCCTGACTACCTGTGGAGCGTTGGGTGCCAGCCCTGGTGTCCGGGTGCATCCACGTTGGAATCTTATCGAGCATGTCATGTCACTTCCGCGGGGCTGCAGGGCTCAGCACAGTCTCTGCCCTCCTGGGGCTCTCAGTGGTGCAGTGAGCATGAAAGCCCCTGCGCACAGTAGGGCTTCCGCACAGACTGGTGTCCTTCCTAAGCACCTAACTCTGCTCACAGCTTGCTTGAGAAACAAGCGCAGGCATGCGTGTGGGCACCACGAGGCACTTGAGTCCTGATAACATTGTGGCCTGCATGGTGCCGGCTCAGGGGAGTCTGGGGCAGAAGTGACCCCTGAGGTCTGGCTAGGAGGCTTGGCTGGACTTATGGGTTCTGTGAAGGGGTGGTAGGGATGGGGGGTGGAATTAATAGACGTGTGAGGAGTGAGTGCGCAGTTGTGCACCGTGGCTGGCACTGAGCTCCAAGAACGCAGGGAAGTATTTAGAGAGAAGGTGGGCCCGGGGGTTGGCGTGACCAGCTTTCAGTAAGAGCCAGCGATTCTTGGGAACTTTCCAAGCCAAACAAAACATAATCTTCCCTCCGTTTACATAGTAGTTGCTTTCCCAAAAAGTCACCAGTGTATAAAATACCCTGCAAAAAAAAAAAAAAAATTCTGTTTCTGTGTAAAACAGAGTTCCTTGCTAGGCTCAGATAACTCATAAACTGGTTTTTACCTGCCCACCCCCACAAAGGCCAGTCCTGTCCCCCTCTGTCCCCAGCATGCCCCACTCCCCAGGCATGAGTGGGTCCCTTTGAGACCCACGCATCCCCTTCCCCCGGGGGTGTTGCGGCCCTGGGGTGCGGGCGGCTGGAACGCAGGTGGCCCCTCACCTGCTCTGTGCCTGCAGGTTCCATGCAGGTGATGAACAAGACCCGGCGCATCATGGAGCAGGGCGGCGCGCACTTCCTCAACGCCTTCGTGACCACGCCCATGTGCTGCCCCTCGCGCTCCTCCATCCTCACCGGCAAGTACGTCCACAACCACAACACCTACACCAACAACGAGAACTGCTCCTCGCCCTCCTGGCAAGCGCAGCACGAGAGCCGCACCTTCGCCGTGTACCTCAACAGCACGGGCTACCGGACAGGTGAGACCGGGCGGAGGCGCGGGGGAGCCACCTGCACCCCAATCTCGCCGGGTGTGGTCCCTGCACCGCCTGACAGGATGACTTCAGGTCGTGTGCGGTCCGCTGCAGTTTAAAAGGTGCACGTTTATTTCTATATGCATTCAAAAAATACAGAATGTGTTCACCTATGAGGGTACTAGGGACCTTTGCAAAGGAATTTGAGTTTTTCTAAGAAGTGGGTTCGTGTAAGATATGAAATAGAGTACTCCGAAGCCAGGTGAGTTTTCGTTCTCTATGAGTTGTTGCCTGAGACTAATGCTTTATTGACTTCAAACTACTAGCAGGGAAGACGGTTCCAGAAGGGCATGGAGTGGTGGTTGGGGGCTACAGTTGGTGTGGAGAATGGAGGGAGTGTATGTGGAGTGTCTGCAGAATGGCCTGGAAGTTGACTTGGCCATGGACTGTCCACAGTGCCCCTCGCGTCCATTGCTCCTGCGCTGGGGGCTGGCAGTGCTGCATTTGGGGGGAGCTCTACAGGGCTTTTGAATCTCTTTATCTTGCAGGAGGTACTTGGGTGGGTTCTGAAGGCTCATCTGCCAGGATGGTTACCTGGGGCACAATTGCAATACAGTCACTTACCTCCAGCACCATTGCAAAATCCCCCAAGCTCAATTAATTTAATTTGCTTTGATTAAGATAAATAAATACTCCCCACCTTGGGTAAGGAGCCAAGGAGGTTATGAAATCAGATATTGGGGCTTGGGTGTGGTGATGTGGAAAGTTGCTCCCAAGTGACAAGGGGCTTGTTCGGGTCAGTGACAAGGGGGATGGGTAGTTGAAAGTGCTTGAAACAGCCCTCCAGGGGGACCACCTCCCCTCAGATCCGCAGCATGACTGGCTGGGCTACGCTGGGGCGGGAGCAAGCCAATGGGGTGTGCGGACTCGTTCTATGACCAGAATCACCCAGAAAGTGGCACCGGCTGAAAGAACTAAGAAGACCTCAATTCTATACAAGTAACTGGTTGGCCCCTGGTCTCTGCAGAAAGTCACATGTGCCAGAACTCACCTGGCCTAGGTGGAGGCAGCAGGACAGGAGGGCCTGCAGCAGGGTGATGGCACCTGTTGAAGGTTTGTCTGCCGCTCGCTCCAGGTGGTTCTAGCCATTCATGTGCAGGGCTGCCCACCTTTAAAAATTTCCAAACCTGAAATTTTATCTGAAATCTCCTGATTTTAAAGATTTGGCAAAACTGTTTTTAAAAATGTACATGGGGAGCCAAATAGAATGTCTGAGGGCTGAGGGGGGCTTACAGACCCCATTACAACCTCTGGCTGAAAGTTGTGTTGAAATCTTGAGGGAGACCAAAGGACCTTAGGTAAAGTCCCTAACAGTGTTCTCATCAACCCCCCTCATTTGACAGCCAGGGCAACAGCAACCCAGAAAAGAGATTCACCCAGAATCATAAGTGGGGTGCTTATGGCATAATCCATATGGAAACCAAGGCCTTGGGGGGCTCGCAGAAACTGTGGGATTTGCATCCGATGAATTGAGAGGGAACATGTGTCCTGCCAAAGCCCAGTGTTTCCAAATCATGCAGCCCCTGCAAGAAAAAGAACCATCTCAGGAACAGACATTCTTCAAGATGGATTTCCCAATCTCTATCGTTGAATTTACACAGCTCACCAAAAAAGCTGTTTCGCTGAAGAATTGCTTTCTTCCAACTGTGCTTAATTATTATACCCTCAATGAAGACTGCGGGCACAATGTCAGGCGTGAATCGCCACACAAAGGATATTTACATTTTTTATAAAACTCACCGAAAATATGATTCATGGTATTTAGAACGCCCCTCTCTGCAAGGAACTGCGTTCAAACCCCACTTCCAGAACTCAGAACCCTGAGAATGTCTGCTTACTTTCCATTAAATAGCGTGCTGCTTTCTTTCCATTGAACAGCAAGAGCTGTGTGTTTTCACTTTTTGCCTTGGCAGCCAAGAAGCTCAGATTTGAGTTTTCTATTAAGTTGCTGTTTAAAGCAAAAGCATCGTAAAATACCACTGTATGGTATTAGTTGTGCTGGTCATTGTCAGTCAGTGGGAAAAAATGACTGGAAAATACTCATGAATTCAAAATCCTTTTAGTTTGACTTGTCAGGCCCACATCCGCCTATAAGATGACTTCTCAGCCCCTCAAGGACCAGTGTCCATGGTTCTTACTGTCTGCAGGCACCTAAAACCCTGCGTTCTCGTGGTGTCTAGGGAAAGTTGGTTGAATTAGATTTAAGTGTGCGAGAGACCCAAGATAGCATTTATTGTTCTCTCAATTAAAACTGCGTGCTGCTTTGGTGAGCCTGCCTCACAAATTGCCCAGACCTTCAACTGCTTCCTACCTCTCCTTCCTGCCCACTGGGGAGAAACAAGTCACATGAGAACTCAGATCCGCAAAGGAGTCTGGGAGACAGAGTCTTTATTCTGGGTGACCAGTTTCCCAGCTAAAAATTCTTTTACTGTAGGATAAGAACAAAGTGAATCCTCAGGGGAAGATAAAATCTCCACCCAGTGGATAGTTCTCAACTCTCTGCCTTTTGACTATGGAAGGTCAGCCTGAGCTGTGAAAGATTGAAACAGAAACATTCCTTCCATGAACCATGGACCAACATTTCATGTGGATGGTGCTTTCAATGTGCTTATTTGGGTATTTTATCTTGAAACTACAAAGTTTGAAAATTTATGGAACATCTAATGGAGGTTCAGTTATAACTGTGGCTCATCGGTTGGTGCTTCGAGCAAATAAATTGATGATGTGTCAGTTGGGGTGAGGTGTAATTAGACAAATTTAAGTAATAGCGCAGTAAGATGTTCTCTGCTTGGATTTCAGTTTTCATGGCGAAATCCTAAAGGGTCATTTTTGCCAAGGTGTTTGAGGATTTGATCAGTTTTCCCCGAGGAGCTTTCATAATCCTTTGACATCTGAATCTTCCCATGTGGGGTGCTTGTTCCCTTATCACCGTTTCCAGGGGTCTCTTCACTTATCTCATGGACCAGATTATTGTGTGTCATTGGATTTGCATGTGCTTGGAGCTGGCCTCCGGCTTCATTTTAATTAATTTCACAAAACCTTGCATCTTTTACAAGATTTGCAATTTCATTTTGTCATCATCTTGCTTTGTGCTACCCCATGTTTGCAGTAGAGATTGACAAAGGATGAAGTTGGCGATGCTAAGTTTAAGCAGGATAAATATCAATTTGCTCATGGATATTTCTGTGTGTTGTCTCCCTCTAACTTTGGGGACTCAGATCTCCATATAAATACCCTGGAAAGAATAAATTACACCCTCAGTTTTTACAGAATGTACAGTCGTCTTTCAGCATCAGCCGCCCTGACTGCACTCACTTGAGGGCAAGGGAGAGCACACCCCTCATTACAAGCCCAGGTTGTGCCAGGACCCCCAGAAAGAGTCATTTTCAGATTTGGCCCCAAGCACCCCAGTTATTGTCTTCACATAGAGCTGGGGTCACACAGAGCTGGGGTCAGCTGTGAACGTGGACTAGTTGACCATCTGCCTTGGGTAGCTCCCCTCACTCGTGGGGAGGGGGTCTGTGCCTTGCGCCTGTCCTGGCCGGATGCATGGGGTGTTGGCGGAAGCCTCAGCACCCAGTTGCCCCTACACGCAGGAGGGCAAGAAGGTGTCCCTAGGCGTTTTGGCCTCCCTGCCAAAAGATCCGTGTGGCGTGGGGGGAGTGGGTGTGTGTGTGTCTGCGCGTGTGTGTGTGTCTGTCTGTCTGTCTTGTTTTTTTCCTAAGGTGGTTCTAGAACCGCAGAGCTGTGAGTGAGGGTGGTGCTGCGGGGCCGCCTCTGTTTTTCTGTGGAATCATCCTCAGCCTCCCTGCTCCCCTGACTCTGTTTCCATTTGCCTTGACCGAAGCCCACACACCAGCTGCCACGTCCGGGCATTCAAATCTCTCGCCTCCAAGATGACTCCCAGTCTCGTCCCTGCCCTCCCCAGACACCTTGGTCTTCCCCTTGGCAGCTCCAGTGTTCCGGTTACTCAGGCCAAAACCTTAGTGTTATTCTTAATTTTGTTTTCTTCCTTTCGCATACCATGTTAGTCCATCTGCCAACCCCCTAGTCTCCAGAATATTCCAGAATCTACTCTGCTGCCACCACCTTCATCTGTTCTCACTGCGGCAGCCGGAGGGATCCTGTCAGATCCAAGGTCAGATCTTATTTCTCCTCTGCCCACAACTCTCCTGTGGCTCCCCAAAGCAGGTCAGCGCCCCCCAAAGTCACCTCAGGGTCCTCACGATCCCCTCTCCTGACTCCTGTCCCTCACCTCTTGATCGCCTGGCCACCCGCCCTCCCCCCAACTGCTCCTTCCTGTTTCGCAAACAATCGAGCAACAGCTGGTGGTTCTCACCTAGGGGCCTGTGCACGTATTCTTTCTTTTTCTAGAAATTTCTTCCCCTGTTCATCTGCAGGCCCTGCTCACTCACTCCCCTCAGCAGTTTGTTCAAACATCGCCTCCTCAGAGGAGCCTGCCGTGACTGCCCAATCCATCCCTTTGCCCCTGTATCCCTTACCCTGATTCATTTCCCTTCGGAGCCCTTGTCACCACTGCCGTCACCACGGCCCCTTTCGGTGGCTTCAGGAACCCTGCTTCCTGCTGTGTCCATGTCCCTGGCCCTCCCCACCCCTGACGGTCTCTTCTGCCATGCATCTGCTTGGTTGTCTCACTTCTGACAGCCCAATGGCAGCGGGACAGGGTCTGTGTGCTCTGTCCGCTTAGTGTCCCCGAGGTAGGTGCCCAGGACAGGTGCCTGTCTGCCTGCCCCCTGCCTTCCCCCAGCTTGTCTAGGTGGCTTCCTCTTCCTCCTGCTCTCCCAGCCCCCTCCCGCCCCCTCGGCCTCTCCCTCTGCTCAGTCGGAGGAGAGACACCGCCCCTTCCACCGCCCCAGACCCCTGGTACAGCTGCAGCCCTCACAATGGCTGCCTTCTCTCTGCTTGGCTTTTCTCCTGCTTTGCTG